TGGTTTCTTGCCTTTTCCCAGGGAAAAATATTTTTTAGACAATAAGAACTTTTTGTTCCTGACTTGAAGGCAGACCTTGGCTTTCCTGGGCTGTGGGCTGCACGCGTTGGGGTGATATGGGAGCTCCTGGGATGGTCCCAGTCCTACCCCTGCATCCCTCTGCACTGACAAACCACTTGACTTGCAAAATCCATGTATGGCAGCCAAAAGGCGAGGTTTTTGCCTTACAGGGATGCAAGAGGAACCAGTTTGAGCTAGGTCATTCTGGTCATAGCTTATGGAGGACCCAACTACAAATAGCTAATAAAATAGCAGAACTGCAAAAAGACACCTTTAGCTAGGGTGCTGCTCCCCACCACCCGCCAGCTTGCCTGGGGGCAGAATGCTCCAGCTGCAGTGCAGTGCCTGGCTTCCAAGCGGGCCAGTCCCAACCTTGGGAAAAAACTGTTTGCATTGTGATGGTCCTAAGCATTTTTTACATTTTTACCAAAGGCACTAAGAAAATAAACAGGAAAGGGCTGTGGCCTGCTCAGGCAGATGAAATATTCAAAAGCAGCAGCATCTGAGGAGCTTCTTAGAACAAGGTAGCCGTGCAAAAGGCTGCATCCCTCCTCTTGTTCAGATCACTGGTCATTAAAAGTGGGGAGAGGACTGAGTTAGCATCAGTGGGATTGCTGATCGTTTTTCGGTTTTGTTCCCCTCTCCCCTCAAAGAAATGGCCCTCCCTCCCCACCACAAGATTGCACTTGAGCCAGTAGTTGCCATTTGTTTCTGCTATTCTATTTAGATGGATGCTCTAGCTGTGGTGATGCAGTTCTAGTTATTTTGGTTTTCAAACATGACTCAGTCCTAAAATAAACACTTAAACAATTCTATTTTACTGTTCCAAGCAATACTGCTGATACATAAATGACATCCTCGGAGTGACATTTGAAGTCTAAAACGGTAAAATGAGATTACTGATAAAAACAGATTTTACGGCGAAGCATAGTAATTGAGTTTGGCTCTCTTATGGATGAAATATTATATGATCAATAGATTATTATGGTTTGTAGTAATTAAAGTTTCATGTTATAGAAATAATCTATGAACAGATTAGTAGAATATAGGGTTGCAAATCTCCTGTTATAGTAAACAATGCCTATTTGGCATTTTACAGACTGTAAACTCTGGCAATAAGAAAATACTGATTAGGGCAGACCTAGATGAGTAATTGATTTTAACAATTGATTTTTTATTTTTATCATTTTGCATTAGCATCATACTGACCAAAAAAAAAGTGAAATACACTGACACTCTAGTGGCCGTTCACATGGCTGATGAACAGCCCGGGCACAGAGATCTGAGAAACCGGGTTTGCAATACCATCTTTTTCTTTTCAGGCCCTCTCTAAAACGCTTCTTCTTACTCAAAAAACCACTGGTACGCTTCGTCTTTTCTCCCAGGACAGAGATTTGGCCACCATGCTAAAGCAATGAGAAATTTTAAATTTTTAATTAGAAATTAAAAAAGCATCAGAAGAGATGGCCAGGATTGTGACTTGGCGCATACGGCTGTGACTTGGGCAGAAGATGTGACTGCAGCGGGCTTTACCGGTGCACTGCAGAAGAAAGGCTTCTCCACAGGTCGCCCACTCAGGAGATGCCAGAGCTGCTCTAGTCTTCTCTTACTCAGATTTTCTTTATATAGTTGGCAAAAGCTATCTGGTGATTTTTAACTTAAATTATTAACTGGTCTGGGGACAAGTGAAACTGCATTTGCCTCTAAGTAAGTTTCACCATTAAAAAATAACTAGCTGAGCCCTGCTTTAAAGCTGCTGCTATTTTTATCTGAGAAATCTAGGGAGTCCCTGCCTGTTGAGAGGCCACGTGAGCTGAGCACCATCACTGTGCTGCAAGTGGCCCATGCAACCTACCCCACAGCTGAGCACTTCCGCACACAGGTGACCCATGCAAGGTGAGACTCCCCGTGTCCATGGAGGAGGAGATGCCACCCCATAGACATCCTGAATTCGAAGTCAGCAGGATCCGAGGTCTGGGCTGTGTGGCTCACGAGGTTGTGCTTCTCTGAGGTGCCCCACGGTGAATCTGCTGTAGCCCAACGCAGTTAATGGCAAGACCTGGCACTGAAGGAGGGCAGTTTTACAGCACTCCCTGCACAAATGTCCACTTTTAGGCATCCTAGACAAAAGAAACGGCTAATATTTCGGCTGTGACTTAATGCCATATTTCACCGGTTGCACTGTTAAAGGTGGAGCTCTCACAGAAGGCAAAGATGTCCTTAGCCATAAGGACTGAGGCAGCCAGCCCCCTGTTCTTGCCCATGGTAAATTAGTGAGTACCAGAAATTTGCAGCTGCACAGTTAGCTCCCTTTTCAACGGTTTACAACACTGCTGCTTTTTGTCAACTTGTTTCACCATAGCATTGAATTCAGCATTGTAACTGAAGACATCTCTGCCTTTATATCTGTAGGTCTATTAACTTAGGGCAATTACTCTGCAGAGAGGTGACAACTCCTTTATGGAAGTTATTGAATTCTGGTACTGCAAACACTGCAAACAGTGCGTCAATAATGAAAGGCCAGTGAGAGAACACAACGTACCTGCATCGTTCAGAAATATAATTTTTTTTTATGGACTATATCGTCTGACAGATAATTTAAGCCTGGAAATTAGACATCAATTTTTAATAATATTTAAATTTACTTTTCAAGGAAAATTAAAAACATGAGCTACTAATTACTGGCTTGACTGAACAGAAGGGAGATGGGGAAGAGGGAAGTGAAAGGGAGTGAAAACGAGGGTCACTGAGATGTCTCCTTGGAGTTTGCTGACCTTTAGAAGAACTCCCAACTGATTAGTAACCTTGAACATTGATAAATTAGATAATATTCACTCAACCCATTCTCATTTTTTATTTAGCAGAGAATTCCAGCTTTGTTCAGCAGTATGACTTCTGCTCTTTACATACATGCAACACTGACTGTCTCTCCAAGGATTTGATTCTAGCTTTAGCTATTATGTTATGTCTCAATTCTTGGCTTTTTAGCCTGTTTCTTAGTGTATTGCACCGTGCTTCCAAACCTGTAATAGCAGAAAGATCCTACAACATTCAGGTCAGGGTAGGCAACAAAAGGAAAGAGATCCTTGTTTTCCATCTATACACTGGTTTAGTTTTGATTAAAAGCTGGGATTAAACACCAGTATTACTTTGCCTTCGAGAAAGGATTGAGAAATAATTTGGAGATAATTTTCCTTCCATTCTGTACAGTTCTCATATCTGTTATAGGTCTAAATCTGATGTCGGTGGATGCACTGAAACAGATCAAGAGCAGGGACACTTGCCTCACCCATATCTTACCTATCCACGGACCCGAAATGGGGATGCTTACAACTGTTCTGTGGATATCTGCCCTTCTCTCTACCAGCTCCACTGCTTTCCTTCAGAGCTTTTGACAGCCTCTGCCAGAGCCCGAGGATTTTGCCCTTGAAAAATGTTCACTCTTTTTTGTATCTTTCAAAAAAGAAGTCTGGTCTTCATCCATTTCCTATGTCTGCCTTATACCTATTCTTGAATGAAATTGAAGTGCAGTTCTTAAATGGTAACACATTCTGCTAAACCTTCTCTCAGAAATAGGCATGCAGCTGCCACTGAAATCCACTGGAGATGTGCCTCTGCGTCTGAGGGGAAAACGTGACCTCTTGACAATTACTAGCAGGCAAGAAAACACTGTACAGAAAGGAGCTTCTTTTTCAAGGAGCTAACACTCTTTAAAGACTTTGATTGCAGCTTGCCAGAAACTGATCAATACAGTAAAACCCCTGAGTACCTGTTATTTATGGACTAGGTGAGGAAAAAGGTTTATTTGGTCTGAAAATCTTCATAGCTTTAATGGTCGAATGTAGACTATCAATTGGGGGGGCGGGGGGGGAGCTGCATTTTTTTCCGATTTTTAGTTTCTTGATTCTGTTTGTATTATTTGCATTCAGCGGCCTGGCATCTCTTATAGTCCCTGCTCCATAAACATCCAGTACTCAGCAGACAGTACAGACACTAGGGCTCAAGGGAATACCTACCGGATACATGCAGTTGCATGGCATTCCTTTGATCTCCTGCTGTACGTGAAACACTGTGAAGTAGCATCTGTTTGCAGGAAAATAATTCTGTTTTGTAAAAAACATATACATGGACTTCCCTTGTAGCTTAATAATACATGGGGGTAATATTAAGGGAAGTTTTACCTGTCCAGGTTGCATGACAATCTACTGAATGGGTAAGGAGGATGCTGAAGAGAAGAAAGGCACTTTGAAAAGAACATGACTACTGGAGCAGTATTTAAAGGATGCTGTCATCTTGGGCAGTTTCCTCCTCTCCTGTTTTGCCTCCATTGTTCGTGATGCATTCCTTACAAATTCAGCCTTTTCAGCCCATAATTTTTAAGCACTGCTTTTTTCTTTATTTCTCTTCCAGAATAACATAGCTTTGGTCACGTAACCTCTTTTATTATTGTCCCAACAGTACAGTAGTGAAAATAGGGTTTGCATATTGAAGCGATCCCCATGCATTAAGATACTTTACACAAACGATTAAACCAGCTGTGGAGCTTACGGAAAGACTAACCCGGGACAGCTGGAGAGAGCAGAAATCTGGAGAAGATCCTCTGTAAATCTGAACAGATCCAAGTCACTCACAAATGGCCTCTACCCACCCAGCATCCCTCTGTCACGTAGGGTCTGATCTTTAGGCACATGAATTTTCTGTTCAATCCACTGTAGTAGCTCAGAGGTATGAAGTTACTTATGTATTCCCAGAAGAATAACAAAGATAAGAAATGATAGGCATAAGGTTGTGCTGGGCAGAAGCCCCCATACGTAGAGGAGCTAGACCGGCGACACTCCACCCGCATGGCCCAGCTGCCTAGGCGTGCTGGCAAAGAAGGAACAGTAACAACACGCATGAAAGTGACATCCCTGAAAAGGAAAGACGGCACAAACAGAGGCTTAAGGTAAGAGAAATATTTATTTAAATTTGCACAATAACGAGCTTATACTGAACAAATTCAATCAAGAAATAATAGTAAGTGCAGTAAAACAAGGAAATATTGATGACTTTTCCCATCAGAAAACATTAAGAAGCCATGCCTGTGCATCACGGTTTTTCTTTTTTGGTTTTTTTTTTTGTTTTTTTTTTTGTTTTTACAATAACTTCTATCTTTTTTTTTTTCAGCGCACATACTGTACATATCACATCTTAACTGCTAGGTTCTTTATTCCTGAAGGCTTCATCCTTTTACTCAAACATCTGCTAAATTCTGCAGTGAGCAATCAAACACATTTGTGCAGATCCAAATATGATATCTCTGCATCTGGTCAAGCGTTGGACTCTAAAAGCTTCGGAAGACCCTGTAAGAGCTCCTAGCTGATTTGGATCTCGACATCGTTATGTACAGCATTACAATGTGTCACTTTACACTAACCTAAATATTCTGCATAATGATGTCGGACAAATAGCCAGAAGATTTGGGCCTAACCTCATACACATCTGAGCTTGTCTTGAGTCCCATAAATTTCACTCTGATTCAGGTAACTGAGTTCATCACATATCTGCACTTTAGATGGACAAAACCAATCTAATTTTAGTTTTAATTTTGTACAATTTTTGGTCTACAGGTCTTTTTTGTGAAGGAAAATTCTTTAATCAGAAACTGCTTGTGAGAGATAGTTGTTGGTGTCACAGTTCCTGAAGGCACTGTGGGTCCACTGAGCAACAGACGTGGCCATTCTAAAGGAAGGAAAAACAGAAAGAAGAATTGAAACAATTAGCATTTTGTACCAACCAAGTCAATTTAACAAGCTCAGCCATTTGTAAACATCCATCAGATTTGAACGTACAGATTTGTAAAATACAAGACATCTACAGGTTTTGATTGGATTCATGACATTGTCATCATGTTCCTTCCCCTGCCCAAAGGAACGGGCTATTATGATTCCTCTAATTGCTTGGTTTGCTGCGGCCTGTATCCCAGAGCTACAAGACTCAAACTGAAAGAAGCTGGGATCAGTGGAAGAAATGCTCCTGACATAAAGGTATCAAGCATTTGCTCAAGTACACAAAACTGTTGAACAAGACAGGGCACTTGGGAGTTTTTATTTAGATCGGGCAGAAGGGACTCCAGGTTTTATTTAGTCCTGAATGCTTCAAGTTAATACATCCTAGTTGTAACACCAGCGAACATTAATCCATAAAGTTTTTCCTGATAGTCCACACATTCTTCTGAGAATATTAGCAATTAAGGGAACAGATTACCTATGGACATCATTAAAGTACTGGAGAAATTGTTTTCTGCATCTCTACTACTTCTTTTCTTAAGTCTGATTCTTACAATGCAAATAAAAAGTGTGTATTACTTCTAAATTACTCCAAGTACATTCAGTTAACTAAACTGCCAGGACTGATTAAAGACTGAGTCTGAATCATTCAATCATTTTCTTTCGCTCCTTCTGTTACAGGAGGTTAGACAATCCTACTGTCCACCTTCTTTACTTGCGATTTGAAATGGCTTTGTGGCTAAGTCAGCTTTAGCTGGTGCCCAGGTTTCTGAATTCATAAAGGATTTGTGTAAACCTATTTTGCTATAGCTTGCTTAGAGAGGCTTAGACTGGAGCTTTGACCTTCCATGTGATGCTCTGCAAGAAAAGAGTGGGGTGACACAAGGCTTGAGAAGAAGAACTATATGAGCTGGCCACCGCAGTAACCTGATCTGGAGGGAGCGGGCTGCTTGCATGCAGAACTACAGTATTAAAATGCTGCCAATACGAGCAGATAGTGTATTTCAAAAAGAAAACTGCTCTGTAAAGAGAATGGAGTAAGATTTAGCTTGCTGAGGGACAAAGTGGTACATCTTCACTGTTATGCAGATTCACACCTGAGCCGCATTAAATCTATGGGGTTTGGCAGAGTATCTGTATTAATCTTATATATGTTCACAATGCAGCAATGGATTTTACTAGTCTATGTATGTGTTCACACTGAAAACAAATTAGTCAACGCTTAAGGTTCAGTCTTTGCTTGAGAGAAAAGGGCAGATGGGAGCAGCACGCAGGTGGCCATCAGCAGAACTGATACATTGCTTCTGCATTGCGATTGATTAGCGGTACTACAGTGAGAACACATTTCCCATCACTGAATCTCAAAAGAGCTTTAGAGAAGAATCACACATAACTATTTGTTTTACAGATGGGGAAACCGAGGCACATAAACCTCAGCAACTTGCCCAAGCAAAAAGTAACTTCTAGCATTGGAGTTGGTGTATGCCACCAGCTACGGACCCCAAAAGTACGGGTTTCTGCATGTAAGCCTGTTTCAACATCCTTTGGGCAGCAGCTGGCTTTCTAACCATTAGCCACTCTGTCAGATCACATCATTTTCTTCTAACCACCGACCTGCTCTGACATCAAGACAAATGCCTGTGCTTACCTGGCACATACCACTTCTCTCGTGAAAGGACTATGCCTCGACAGCAGCAACTGCTGTTGCACACAGTATTGTGTCAGGCAAAGTGGAGGAAGAAGGTGGTGCTTGACAGCTTCTGCTACACGATCAGTTACTCCCCATCCCTCCCAGAAGGAAGTGTTGAAGTTAGATTATTTTTTATGAGCACCTTTTCAAAGCAGTTAATTGTGCCATGTACTAGAGTTTGGGAAGTATCTTGCTTGGGAAGGACACAGAATAAACACCAAAATCAGCTGTGAATTGCAGTAATAATTAAAGATCTATGGATGAATCCTGCTGTCTCTCTGTCCTTGGCTACTGTGGAAACACTCTTTGTCATTCTTCAGTATTTGACGGTGGAAAATACAATTCACCTTACAGGCTTGTTTTGAATGGAAAAACTTATTTTAACCTCCTTTTCACTTCCATCTTTAAAAAGAGATGCCAGAATTCACATAAGCCCATAGCCATTAATTTTTCTGCTCAGACAATTAATTCCTTTGACTACAAAAATTATTAAATGTTCTAAATGTTATGTTGATTCTACTATTAATTTTAAGGCAAGAAAGCTATGTAACCATGTAACTAGTCCTTTTATTCTCAAAACAATTACTATTCTCAAAAAGCAATTCAATCAGTTCTGATAACGCTATAGTACCACACAGAACAAATTTATTGTGTGAAGTCTAGTCTTACATACCTATTTGTACTGTATACATTTCCAAGATAGCATGGAGCTATATAATAAAAACTGTGATCAAGCTTGAATTGAGCTATCCTAGTGGAAAAGCCAAGCCCACTAACAGCACACTGCAGCACAGGCTGTTGTCCTGCTTCTGACTTGCTAGCACATTAAACCATCTTTCTAGCACGAGCAGGAGTGAAGTTAGCAAAGCTGAACACTTTACTGTAATCTCCGTTGCTTTAAAACAAGTGTAGACACCAACTACCCACTGACCAGACTCAGTGCATTAATATTTACATGCCACAGAACAAGCTGGGAAAGAGGCATCTCAGCTTAATTTTTATGCTCTTTACCTTGCACTGGCAGAGGGTGCACTCTGTGCCGTGCTTAATCCAAGAAGATCCAGTGAAGCGAACAACATTGGTTTCATCCAGACAGGTTTTAGTGATGTCGTTGCGAATGGTGTCCGCTTGGCAGGGGTCAGTGACACAGCGCGGGCAGCACTCATTCTCGGGGAGGACGCTGAATTCACAATCCACCTCCGGGCATGGCAAGGGCCAGCAGTCCACTTCGCCTTGCTGTTTACAAATATTATGAGAACAAGAGAAGATTATTAGCTCTTATTTTGTTTCACTACCTATTCATCTGACTCAGTATTATGTTTCTTAACTGGTTAATTTTATCCATCTAGTTCTATTCAGAAGTCAGTGCAGAGCGCACCGATATTCATTGCTTGTGGGAGACACAGCAAGGCGGGTGCTTTTTTCTGCATGCTATTCAGGAAGTGTACTAGATTTAACTTATTTTAATACACTCTGCATCAACTTGCAGCTGAAAATTCTCCATAAACTTCATGAAATACAGAATATGGATCTGCCTTTGTGAAGTCCTACTTCTGCAAGTGACAGAAGCCATAACATGAGTGCTTCGAAATCTCCTGTTTCCCCTAGTTCTTACTTCTATTTGAACTGCTGGTTTGCCATAGAAAGCCCTCAAATGTTCAGGTCCGGATGGGCTTTATCTTTGCCACCATTACAAATGCACTGGCTGGACTAAGGGCGTCAAGCTACCAGCAGCCCAATGCAGCAGGGAACACCAGCGCATTTTCAGCGAGAGGACCTCCACGCACTTACCATCCGTTTTGGATGCTGCGATCAGAATACCTGAACTTCCAAACTTAATCATACTTTCTGCATGATGGCCTCAGTACGGTCAGAGTATGAAAAGGCCAAAGCAGAGACCTGTGCTGGGCCAGAATATTCTTAGGGGAAGTTACTGTATGCCTGTACACAAATCTAAAGATGTCTAATTATTCACGTCAGTTACTAGAAGTTGGGGTCAGCTCCCCTTCAACTCTGGACAAGGGCCAAAGTTTCAGACCTATTGGTCAAAGAAAAGACTTCACAGAAGTCATTAATGCATATTTCTTTTGGAGCAGGTCCATCTCTGATCTCCAACTTAGCTCATTTGAAACACAGATTAAGTAGTCTGGATTTAAGGGGGCAAAGAGAATAGCATTTGGTCCTAGGAAAGAAGTTTATTCACAAAAAATGTATCTAAGGCTTTGAGAATGATGAGTTCAATATCTCCAGAGCAAAAGCTGAAAAAAATTCCCAGGGATTTGCCATAGCTCCAAATTTTTAAAACCAGTCACTGATCAACTGAAAGCAAGCAGGCTTTAGTTACAGAAGTGACATCGTGGAAAAAAAAGAAACATTTATTGTTGTAGGTTGTTTTGTTTTGTTTTTAAGACATTAATGAAGCACCTGGGAATCTATTTCATTGGATTTTAGCAGCGGTAGCCCTGAAAGCACAATGTCTACAGAAATTGGTTTCTGGCTGTTATTCATGATACCGGGACAAGGAGAAGCTGCTAGATGGACTAGCCTTTACATTTGGACATAACCTGTGATAAAAGCTAGTTGTTTTTATCTTGGGATTTTTTCTGTCACTTCCTGAGCGGCATTATGCAGAACAGTTTTTGCTCAGACTCTGAAATACATGCCTAGGAAAAAGATCACAAGCTTTGAAAGATTTTTTTTTTCAAAACTCATTTCACTATTTTGAAAAATGCATCAAGTCTTATTATTTCTTCTGTTACTCAGAACGTCTGAATGAATAAACAAATTTTAGTCTATGGGCGTCTTTGAAATTATCAACCGTGATCATAAATACATATTTAGAATTTCCTTATACAGCTACATTGGTCTTTGAATGAATGAACAGATGAGTGTTGCTTTGTAGGTGCCATATCCAAATGACCTCCACTCTTTGCTAAAACAATCTTCATGATTAAATAATTTCTATTATGTCTATTGTGTCAAAATGCATTTTTGACTGGAACTTGCCAATACTGACAAATATCCATGAAAACCAGATTTCGATTATACACATACTCCAGAGGAAATCAAGTGGATGCTAATGCACGAAAACTAACTATTCACAGATCAGAATATCTCATCTCCTTTTTCCCTCCTATCTCTGCTGCTGTAATCAGGAGCCTTACCAAACAGCGACACTGCTGACAGTTCTGTATCCAGGAGTCACCACTGTTGTAGGAAAGCTCCCCGCTCTGATGCAAACATTGACTGCTGAGCCTTGGATCACATTCAGGACAGCAAAATAGGTCAACGGTGGGATTTTCACAGTCACAGACCATTCGCCGGCACATCACATATCCACTCTGTTGTTGGAAGACAGGCATAGAGCAATGGCAGAAATGTGACCAACTCCAGCAGTACTTGTAGCAAAATTTGATTTTTCAGCATGATTCTAAGCCACTAGCAGCTCACAAGTTTTTCCACTATATGGTATCTTTGTCAAAATACAATTCAAACAGAGGCAGAAACCACAATACACACTCAGTAACTACCATAAAGTTTCCCTGTTGTCTTATATACATCCTTCATACAACCAACCTTCAGACAGCTCTCACCTAAGTTGATGAAACCTAAGGGCATCTTTCCCAAGGGTCAAATTTTAATGGATCGCGTTTAGTTTATGTCATTCTCATAAGGATGCTAGTCAAGTCTTGCTTTAAACTTCCAGACCAGTCCCTCTCTTCTGTAATTATTCACATAAGGAAAATGATAGGTAGTCTGAAATTAAATTCATGCCCATGAAACTTGAGCTGCTGAAATGCTCAGGACTTTGTCAGCAGTGTATTGGGCCTTCCTTCTCCATCAGCATTTAGCTTGGGATCAAGGTACCCACAGCAAACATTTGAGAAAGTTAAGCTGAATTCCTCTGCAGATACAGAACCTACTTCTATTTATAGCCATCTGCTAGAGACACTGGCGTCAGTCACCAACGCCGAGATGTGTCTAGACAGACAGTTTCTTTGCATGAAAATGCCTTTCCTCCCACCCAGAAAACACAGGTGGCATCTCTGCTAAGAAAATAGTACTATCGTCCTTCTCCCAGTGTCATATAACAAAGCTCCCATGGAAGTTCTGCTCGTGCAGATTGGAGAGAGAAGCTCTCCCCAAAACCGTACATAATATATAATTCCATTTTTCCTTAGCACCACACGCGCACCTGAGAAGGCAGCTAAAACAGGAAATTCACTTGAATCACGACACTCTTCCCTTCATCCCTACCACCATCTTGCAGAAGCAGCTAGTTCTATTTCTACTAACCTGGCACGAGCAGACAGAGCATCTGTCATTCTCCAGCACCCAAATCTGACCGTTGTGCTTGATTTTGTCTTCATGGATACAGTCTCCTGTGCAGTTCTTGCCATGGGGACATCGACAGTCGTACCCACCATCCAAGTTAAAGCAAACAGTGTCATTGGCACAGCTATGCCTTCCAGTTCCACATTCATCAATGTCTGCAAAAACATGCCATGTAATGCACTTAGACCACATTCAATTAACAAAAAAGTTCTTGCAGCAGTTGATGTAAATGATTCTTGGCCACTAAAGCCTTCAGCTGAAAATTAATTTGCACTTCACCAGAACAGGGAGAAATAACTTACAAGTTCACAAAAAACATTTTTCAAGTCACATCAACTTTTAAAACATGGTATTTTGAGTTTTCCTGTACATCTTTCTAAGTGAATGCTATTGAGTAGGGTAGTTAGAATGAAGAAATCACAGGAAACATACGAACAAAAATAATTCTCAGCTCCCTAAAGAGCATTAGTTTGTGGCAACCGTTCATGAGACATGTGCAGTTAAACATGAAAAAGTGCAGAATTTTGTTTCAAAACCTTTTGCTGGCTCTGTCTAGCACATTTGAGTTCACTTGCTGAGAAGTTAACGTGAAAGGTGAGGTCTGACCTATAAGCTCATTTAAGCAAGCACACCATGCTTTAAGTTGCATCATTTATTAGGGTGTGCAAACTAGAATATTTTAATTATTCAAGTTGCAGTGACATCTATAGCCCTTGTGTCTAGCATAGGAAATAAAGAAAAAAAAATTAACATCTCCAGGTAAATAACTTCAAAACAATCATATCTCAAAGAATTCAAGAGTACCTTTAAAGGCCTACTTCATCAAGGTACACACAATTATTTTGCAAGGGCAAAGTAGCAGCACACACTGCCTTCTACTTGAATAGTCTTTATTTAGCTTTTTCAGCTGTCGATATGGAGAAAAGTTATCTGGGAAAAAAGCTTTGAAAGGGCAAGAAGTAAACAGCTATATGCGATAAAACGTGGAAAACACTAGAAAAGTTCAATTCTACATACAATTTCACAACAGTCTGGCCCAAGCTCTTAATTAGAGTTCATTAGAAAGTAGCATTGTGATATTTAACTATCCAACAGATCAGTACAAGACAGAATAAGCAATATGGTCATGAATGTATCTTTCACCATCAGCATAAAAACTTAATAAAACACTCAGCTTTGGGTTCAACAATGGAAATGAAACCTCCAATTCACCTCAAGCACATTCAGTTTAAAGCAAAATAATTATCATTTCAATTCCAAGTGTGGCTGCAGTCAAAAAAAAACAAACCCAAGTTGCTAACATGAATGTGTTTTGGGATGAAAAACAGCAGGGAAATTATTAGAATTCCATTGTATAAATAAGCAGCATTGTGGGTTTCCTTCAAATACTGTGTGTAATAAACAGCGGCACCATCTCAAAAAAAAGTATTGCAAAATTACTAGGGCTTCTGGGAAGGATGAGAAAAATGTTATTTGAGAAGAACTGAAAAGAAATGGATTGTTCATCTCTAAAAGAACATCAGCAAGAAGGGATATAACAAAAAAAAAAAAGAATACTCCAGAGAAGGCATGTTGAGATCTTTTGTTCTCCATATTGCCTAATATGCAAGACAGGGGACAGTGAATGAAACTGAAAGACAAGAGATTTAAGTCTGATAAAAGGAAATAATTTTTCATATAATGCATAAACAAACAGGACACTCACTGCCACAGAGTGGTAAGAGGGGAAAAAAATAGCATAGCCAAAAGTGTATAAAGCTAGCAAGAATATTCATAGACTCATAGAATGTTTTGGGTTGGAAGGGACCTTAAAGATCATCTAGTTCCAACCCCCCTGCCATGGGCAGGGTTATCTTCCACTAGATCAGGCTGCTAAAACTCAATTTGCAATGCTAACAGATTTTGGAATACATTTCATGCGTTAGGGTCTATGGTGCCCTTATTTATGTATCAGATAATCCAGAACAGGCGAATCATCTCAGATCTCCACACCTTCTACCTCGCTATCTTCTGAAGCATCTGCAGTCGGCCACTGCTGCAATAGGGCAGAAGACAACTGGGGTCATGAACCTAATTCAGCGTGGCTGTTCACATGGCCCTGAGCAGCTGAAACGTCACAGGCACATCAGACAGGGAAGCCCATCCGAACAGTAAGGATACATAATTCACAGAACAGAGGGCCCGGCGGAGGCTGTGCAGTCTCCAGCCTTGAAGGTTTTTAGACAAGTAGCCAGCAGGAA